TTTTTTTTTTGTTTAATATATGTTTATTGATTTCAGAAAGAGGAAGGGAGAAGGAGAGAAACATCAATGAGAGTCATCGGTTGGCTGCCTCCTGCATGCCCCCTACTGGGGATGGAGCCTGAAACCCAGGCATGTGCCCTGACCAGGAATTGAACCTCGATTTCCTGGATCATAGGTTGATGCCCAACCACTGAGCCATGCCCGGCAGGGCAGTATGCTGCCTTTTAATCCTCAGCTGCCTTCTGTCTGCATCCTCCACAGGTTCCTCAAAAGGATTTCTGGATTTCTTTGCCACTTGATGGGCCTCTAACTAAAACCCCATTCGGTCATTTCTACTGCAGATGATTCATGGTGGCATATGGCTTTTAAAAGGACTTAAAGTTTCCCATGCTACACCCTGCTTTATGATTCCCCCAAATTTCTCTGATTGTTTCTTCTTTTTATTGAGATATAATTCACAAAGCATATAGCCCGCCCACTTAAATGTTTCAATTCGATGGTTTTTAGTATATTCACAGCGTTGTGCAACCACCAACATAATTTTGGAAAACTTTCATGACCCCAGAACGAAGCTCCATACCCATTAGCAGTCACTTTTCATGCCCCCCTCCACCCTAAACCTTGACAACTAATGATCTACTTTCCGTTTCTATAGATTTGCCTATTCTGGGCATTTCAAAGAAATGAAATCATACAATATGTGTTCCTTTGTGTCTGCCTTATTTCACTTAGCATAATGTTTTCAAGGTCCCTCCATGTTGTAGTATCTATTAGTACTCCATTCTTTTGTATGGCCTAATAATATTCCATTATATGAATATACCACATTTTGTTTATCCATTCATTAATCAATTGACATTTGGGTTGTTTCCACCTTTAGATTATCATGAGTAATGCTGCAATGAACATTTGTGTACAAGTTTTTGCGTGGATGTATGTTTTAATTTCTCTTGGTGGAATTTCTGAGTTATATGGTAACTCCATATTTAACCTTTTGAGGAAGTGCCAGATTGTTTCCCAACTGGCTGCATTATTTTAAAATGCCATCTGCAGTGTATGAGGGTTCCGATTCTTTTGCATCTTTTCCAACACTTATTTTTATCTTTAAAAAAATATTGTAGCCATCCTAGTGGGTGTAAAGTGGTATCTCATAGTTTTGATTTGTATTTCACTAATGGCTAACAGTGTTGAACATCTTTTCATGTGCTTATCAGCCATGTGTATATCTTTTTTGGAGAAATGTTTATTCAAATTCTTTTCCCATTTTAAAATGAAATTATTTGTCTTATTATTGGGTCAAAGGAATTTTTAATATATTCTGGACACTAGTCCCTTATCAGACATATTATTTTAAAATATTTTATTTTATTCTGTGGGTTGCCTTTTCACTTTCTTAATAGTATCCTTTGAAGCAAAAAAATTTAATTTCAATATAGTCCTTTATCATTTTTTCTTTTGTTGCTTATACTTTGGGTATTATATCTAAGAATCTGCTGCCAAATACAAGGTCATAAAGAGTTACACCAATGTTTCCTTTTGAGTTTCATAGTTTTATCTTCTACATTTCAGTATTTGATCCATTATGAGTTAATTTTTGTATATAGTGTGAGGAAGGGGTCTAAATTCATTCTTTTCCATGTGGATAACCAGTTGTCCCAGCAACATTTGTTGAAGACTTTGTTCCCCATTGAAATGTCTTGGCACTCTTTTCAAAAACCAATCAAAAATAAATGTTTAGGGTTTATTTCTGGGCCCTCAATTCTATGCCATTGATCTATATGTCTGTCCTTGTGCCAGCACCACATTGTCTCCATTACTGTAGCTTTGTAGTGGTTTTTGAAACTGGGAAGTGTGAGTCTTCTAAATTGGTTCTTCTTTTTAAAGATTTTTAAAGCTATTTTGGGACCCTTGTATTTCCATATTATTTCAGGATCATCTTGTCAATGTCTGCAAAGCAGCCAGTTGTGATTTTGATTGGGGTTGCATTGATTGTATACCAATTTGAGGAGTATTAACACCATAACAATATTAAGTCTTCCAATCCATGAACATGGGGTTTCTCTCCAGTTATTAAGGTCTATTTTACTTTCTTTCAATAATATTTCATACTTTTCAGAGTATAATTTTGCACTACTTTTGTTAAATTTATTTCTAAGAATATTATTCCTTTGATGCTATTGTAGATGGAATTATTTTATTAATTTCAGTTGTTGGATTTTTCATTGTATAAAAACATAACCAATTTTTGTATATTGAACTTTTATCCTGTAACCTGGCTGAACTTGTTTATTAGTTCTAATAGTTTTTATTGGGTTTCTTAGTACTGTCTATATAAAGTAGTCTGCCCAACCCTTATCCTTCTTTTCACTTTCTAAAGTTTCAGTTACAAGTGGTCAACTGTGGACCAAAAATATTAAATGGAAAATTCCAAAAATAAACAATTCATGAATTTTAATTTGTGTGCCATTCTGAGTAGCATAATGAAATCTTGCACTATTCTGCTTTGTCCCACCTGAGACATCCCTTTGTTCAGGGTATCAGTGCTGTAAATGCTACCCACGCATTAGTCACTTAGTAGTTGTCTAGGTTATCAGATCGATACCAAGCACTGGTATCACAGTGCTTGTGTTTAACCCTTATTTTACTTAAAAATGTCCACAAAGCAAAAGAATAGTAATGATAACAACTCTGATATGCCTAAAAGAATCCATAAAGTGCTTTTTGTAAGTGAAAAGGTTGTATGTATAGGAAAAAACATGAAACTATCTGTAGTTCCAGGCATCCACTGGTGGAAAAGGGGGGAATACTGTATAAGATTATGTCATCTGCAAATATATATTTTTACTTCTTCCTTTTCGATCTTGATGCCTTTTATTTCTTTTTGTTGTCTAATAGTTTTGGCTAAAACCTCCCGTATGATGTTGACTAAAACTGTTGGCTGCAGACATCCCTGTCTTGTTCTGGGTCTCAAGGGGAAAGCTTTTAGTCTTTCTCCATTAAGTATGATATTAGCTGTGGGTTTCTTATACATGCCCTTTATTAGGTTGAGGAAGTTCTGTTCTATTTCTAGTTTGGTGAGCAGCTTTTTTTCCCCCCCCATGAAATGTTAGATTTTGTCAAATCTTTTTCTGTGACTAATGAAAGGGTTTTTTTTTTGCCCTTTATGCTGTTGAAATGGTGTATTACATTAATTGATTTTTGGTTGTTAAACCACCTTCCAATCAATCCTGGGATGCATCCCGTTTGGTCATGTCGTATAATTTTTTTTTATTGTTGATGGGTTAATCCACTAGTATTTTGTTGAGAATCTTTGCATCTATTTTTGTAAGAAATATAGGTTTAAGTTTTCTTGTGGTGTTTTTGTCTGGTTTTGGTTTCAGGATAATACTGGACTCATAAAAAGAGTGGGAACTTTTCTTCCTCCTCTGTATTTTGGATAAGTTTGAGAAAAATTGGGAATTAATTCTTTAAAAGTGCGGCAGAGTTCACCAGTGAAGCCATCTGGTCCTGGGCTTTTCTTTATTGGGTGATTTTTTTTAATTACTGACTCGATCTTGTTACTTGCTATATGTCTATTATAATTCACATTATTTTGAGTTAGTTTTTGTAGTTTATGTGTTTCTAGGAATTTTTCCATATCAACTAAATTATCTAATTTGTTCACATACAATTGTCTATAATATTCTTTTCTAATTTTTATTTCTATAAATTCTGTAGTAATATTCCCTGTTTCATTTTTCAAAAATTAAATTTATTTGAGTGACATTGGTTAATAAGATTATATAGGTTTCAAGTGTACATTTCTATGATACATTATCTGTATATTGCATTGTGTGCCACCACCCAAAGTCTAATAATCTTCCATCACCATATATTTGTCCCCCTTTACACTTTACATTTCTGATGTTACTAATTTGAGTTTTCTCTTCTTTTCTTGGTCAGTCTAACTAAAGGCTTGCCAATTTTGCTGTTCTTTTCAAACAATCAACCTTTGCTTCATTAATTTTCTCTATTGTTTTTCTATTTTCCATTTCATTTATTTCTGCTCTAATCTTTATTATTTACTTTACTATGTTTGCTTTGGGTTTAGTTTGCCCTTCCAGTTTTTTAAGGTGGAAGGTTAGGATATTGATTTGAGATACTTTTGAGATATTTCTTTTTTAATACAGTTCTTACAGCTATAAAATTTCTCTCTAAGCACTGCTTTAGCTGCATCCCATAAATTTGGTATGTTGTAGTTTTGCTTTCATTCATTGCAAATATTTTCTAATTTATCTTGTGATTTTTTTCTTTGACCCATCAGTTATTTAGAAGTGTTTTGTTTAATTTCCACATATTTGTGAATTTCTGAAACTCATTCTGTTATTTATTTCTAC